AACTAAAATCAGCTTCTAGGCCTCCATAACTATCTTTAACATGATATGGTATCATAAACATAACCACTCAGTGTTGATCTTACATCTTCATATGCTTCTTCCATAGTCAACTCATCCAAATCCAAAAGAAAATCAACATCATACTCTTTGATTTCCTCGAAACCAACAGTTTTGTTAAGTTCCTCTTTGAAGACAAATTCTAGACAATAAAAGATCACTGAAATCCATACACAAATAAGATGAAATTTTTGCAATTAAGTTGTAACACCCCAAAAATACGAGCCAAAAATTTCATTTTTAAATACACATACTTAGCAAAACATTAAAATAAAACATTCACCAATCATAACATTTCATAAAAGATGTACGTGTCTGGAAATCAGTTATAAAAACATAATAAAGTCAGAGTACAAATCCCCAGGACGATCTCATAGTGCGGAATACAAAGCATGTGTGTGATGTGCTGCTACCGAGCGAGCTCCTTCCCCTTCGAATAAGAGGTACCTGAAACCAAAACTGAAAACTGTAAGCACGAAGCTTAGTGAGTTCCCCCATCATACCGCATACCATACAATCACATATCATACATATTGCCAGGCATTTCTGGGGTGCCCGACCTACCCGGTACGACCATTCTGGGGTGCCGACCTACCCGTGTCAAGCCATTCTGGGGTGCTGACTACCCATGTTAAGCCGTTCTGGGGTGCTGACTACCCTTCGGTCCTGACGACCGAACCTCAAGGACTATTTCACCCCCTACTGCTACTATCACATATACCATAACATAACATATTATCAGACATATCTGGGGTGCCTGAACTACCCTTCGGTCCTAGCAACCGAACTCGGGGATTGGTCCCCTCATACTACCTCTATCGCATATAACATAACAAGTCAGCATGCAAACATATAATCACATACTGTCAGACGTATCTGGGGTGTCTGACTACCCTTCGATCCTAACAACCGAACTCTACTACTATCACATATAACATATCATGCTAGCATATAACATATCAGGTAGTAGCAAACCTAGATGATATCACAAAGACAATCATCTATCATACATCTCCTACTGGTGGGCCGGCATTGTGGCCTTAGACCCACCGCTACTGGAAGGTAACTCACCTCAAAGTAGTTGTTGAACTGATCGGAAACTGACTGTCTACTGCTGCTGCTGCTCCGGACGTCCTCCGGCTATAAATCCCACAAAACGATCAGTCAAACACTGCTAGATGTTCTTAGGGTAAAATGACCCTTTTACCCTCGACTAGGTCTAAATCTAAGTCAAAGTCAACTTCCAGTTGACTGGACTCGCCGAGTCCACGAGCAACTCGTCGAGTCCTTCCCTTACTAATCTGGTCCCACTCGCCAAGTCCCTCCCCCCACTCACTGAGTTACCCTTGACTCACCACTCGGGACTATGGGGCCGACTTGAGTACCAACTCGCTGAGTTTGAAGAACAACTCGGGCAGCTCCATGCAATCGTCATAGGACTCGCCGAGTTGTTCATCCAACTCGCCGAGTTTAAGACCATCTTCATAGAACTCGCCGAGTACCACTTTGGGACTCGCCGAGTTCCTCGACCCATTTCCCAAATAGGCCAGATCTAAGACATGCAATGCTTCAAAACCACAGATCTATGGTCCTAGGGCATGTTTACCACGTAAAGTTGCAAACTTTACGTGTATACATGGCCCAATGAGCTCAAACATGCAATTCCAAGCTCTTTAAGAGGTCCTACACTCAATAGGGACCTCAATCACCTCAACCACGGAGACTTTATGCTACAAGGATGTCTTAAAGGTCCAAATCCGAAGTCCTTGCAGAACATTAACCATAAGCACATAGAGATTTAGGTTCTTAGGGCTTAAAACCTCTTTTTAGGGACAAGAAAGGGGGTTCAATGAACTAAAGGTCAAGGTAGGAACTTTTCTACCTGAATAGAAGCCCTTCACAGAGTATATTCCGGATCTTCTTCCCTTCTTGCACTCTTCAACCTTCTCCTTCTTCTCCCAAGCTCCAAACCACCTTCAAAATGCTAAAAATCACCCACAAGGACACAAAGGGGGCTAGGGCTTCGTTCTACAGATCTCTGGGAGTGCTAGGGGTTGTGGAGGCTGGGTTAGATCGTTTAAATAGGGTGCAAACACCCGGGTTAGGGTTTTAGTCCATACAGGGTCTACTCGCCGAGTTCCACGACCCTACTCGCCGAGTAGCCAGAGTTGATCCCGTGACTAGACCTGCTTCTACTCGGCGAGTTAGTCCTTCAACTCGCCGAGTCCAAGGTTAAAATGCAATACATAAGGAGAGTTAATAATCAAGAATACGTACCAGGAACCAGGTGCTACATAAATACACAAATTGCATCTAATTTAAAGAAATAGATACACAAATAACATCGAATTTTAAAAAATGCATACATATGTGCATCTAATTTCAAAAAAAAATGAAAATAATTACAGTCGGAATTGCAAATCGACCTGGTCGAGGAAAGCGTCGGAGAGTAGGAGGGTGGACTGGTGGAGGACGACGGCGTTGTTGAGCAGGGAATGATCGGCGTCGGTGGACAAAAGAAGACAACAAAGGAAGGATGTTGAGGCTAGGAAGCGAGCGTCTGTAAAGAAGAAATTTCACCAATCTTGAATGAATTGGGAGGAGGCTGGAGCTTAGGGAGGTGGTGTTGGAAGGGGGAGGTGAAGTCGGGGGGAGGAGAAGAGACTCGCAATGGAGATAATGTCGGGCAATGAGAGGAATAAGGAAACGAGAATAACAAGGGCAAAGGAGGATGGTTTTTTTCAGCTAGCTTCCTTTTTGCCATGGACTGAGTCAGACATTCTCAAGACCTAGTCAGAATATTGGACCGGTCAGAAACAATTAGCCATTTATCAAACAGGCTGACCGTACCGAGTCAACCAAAAATACCGACTACGCCTGGCAATCGGATTGGGTTCGGGTTGGTGGGCTGAAAACATCAACCCAACCAACCCAACCCATATAACCCGTTTAAATATATGGGTTATAGCAGGTCAAACCCAACTCATATAACCAGTTTAATAAATAAGCAAGACTTTCGAAAATGATGATTTTTTTTTTAAATATAATCATAAAATTATTAAAGTAATTAACATAAGAAAAAAATATTTTCAACATACATTCATGAACTGATTAACATCTAAATAAAATTTAAAAATGAAAACATTTATACAAAGTAGATCTGTTCTTCGTTCATAACTAGCGAGTATCTAATAATAACAACATGTGTTTTTTCTTTTTTTGATTAGGGAACCACAAACACAAAATAGAAACATCACAAACACAAAATATATATATATATATATATATATATATATATATATATATATATATATATATATATATATATATTGGTGGCTTGACAACCCAAACAGGTAACCCAACCCAACCCAACCCAACCCATAAAATAAAAAGGTTAACGGGTTGGCGAGTTGGATGGGTTGGTGGGTAAAAAATCTTAACCCAAACCCATCTATTTTCGAGTTGGGTCGGTATCGTGTTACAGGTTGGCTCGAAAGTTGCCACCCTTAATACCGACCGGACCCGATCAGCTGCTTATCAAACAGGTCTTTATATTCTTAACAGAATGGCAACTAACATTGCTCTGACTCCATGAGTGATAATCGTCCTAAAATAAAAGGTAAGATACAATAATAATACTCCGAATGATGAAGGAAATATAGATGATGCTACATCTTCCAACACACAATTGAAAATAATGAAGACAATTTAAATAAATGAATAAAAAAAATCCAAGACACGCACTATACAAGGAGAGCATCTATAAAATTTGAACTTAATATGTACAAACAACTATAACATTTAAAAGTAAGGTTAGCCCAGTGAGTCACACAACAAGTCTACAACAAAACAATCACATTTATCCAAGACCACTCATCATCGATGTGGCCATGTCATGTGGAAATATAGATGATATATATATTTATATCATCACCTGCTGTATATTATAGCTCAATCATAGCAACCATCTTTCACTTTCACTCCCTTATATGTAATTATAATTCCACATCAGCATATTACGTGGACTGGTTGTAAGAGCTTGTGAAATTTTTAACAAAATTTTTACTTTCTTGGGAGATAAATAAGATGCGATTTTTTAGGAGACTGAGCTGCATAGTTTCCTGGAGATCTTATCATTATGCCTACCTGCAAAAGTCAACAAATTTTATGTCAGTGATTTTTTTAGGAGATGAAAACGTGGGCAAAATAGTAATTTGACATCCAAGCCAAAGACACAATAATTCAACAAACCAAACATTTGGACTAAAACCATAACTTCATCAACAAGAATCACTCATTGCAATTTAAGCACACGAAGGACACGGAGATGGTTGCCACTTGGCACTTACCCGATCTTGTTTTGTATGAGTGTATGACATGACAAATGCAAACTTAAAACATGATAAAGAATTGGGATTAAAGACTTATGTATATTTATAAAATATACATAAACTTTGATCTCAATTCTTAAACTACATTTTGTGAACTTCTATAACCAAGTATTAAGATACTAGATGACACAGATTGGAAAACCTAAAACATATTATGAAAAACATCATTTTGGTTGTTCACCTTCTAGCTTATGCCATGATGCAACATTCAATCCAAACCTTCATTAACATCCAATACAAAACAACACTCTACGAAGCAATTTGATGAAAATATAAAATCACGTTAACCTTGACCTTAAAAACATATGACACAACCAAAACATCATAAACATAAGGAATAAATTAATCGAATGAAGGATTAGAAAAAACTTTTTGCATCTACCATGGACAAAAGTAAAAAACAAATCAAAGGTACAAAACAAGACATGCATATACCAAAAAAAATAAAGAGTAGTTAGTTAGTTAGTTCGTTAGTTAGTTAGTTGGTTACCTCGATGCATAATGCATCCCTGAATTTACATTCAGGTTACACAAAAGCTACTCCAAGTTGATTTAGTTACAAATGGCCAGTTTCCCAGTCCATTCATCAGCTTCTCCATAATCAAGACTAAGTTCCCTCATAGGAGGAATATTCTCCATAGCAAACAACATAAGATGAGGGAAAGCAAAATTCGAATGATCATACAACACCAATTGAACCAACACATTCGGACACGAACTATGGCTCATGTAACACGCAACATTCCTCATTCTAGAAACATCCATAGCAAAATCAAGTGGAGGCACAGATGGATACGATGGACGCGTATAATCAGAAAATATTTGTCCCAAATCTCCCCATTCTGCCCATCTCTCCCCAAACCTATTCGGATAAACTAAATTGTCACCATTCATTGTAAAAAGTTGTGCTTGTTCTCTTGTGAGAATTACACCCGTGTATTCACAGATAAAAGATCCCGCTTGTATCAAATCCAATGATCTAACTCCCCACCCTGTTTCCCTTGACCTAAACACTTCAAATCTGTTTTTAATCCCGTTCTGGCTTACGCGATTCCGACACGTGGCACTACAACCACAGTGGGGCCCACATTCGAAAATCAACGGTTTTCCTCTAACGAGTAAACCGTTCTGATCGTAAGCAAACTCGCCACCGTTTTTCGCAGCACAAACACAATCATCCAAGCAGCCAGAAACACAGTTACACCCATGGCCTTTCCCTCCAAGATGATAAACAAAAGGAGGGAAAACAGATGTGGATAGATACTCATAGAACATTGGGTCGTGGTTGTTGTCAATGTCGTTGAAGAGTAACACTGGGAGTTTCTCTTTCTTCATTGACATGTCTGTGTGGACATATCCCACAGGCTTAATCTGTCCGTTTCTAAGATCTTGGGCGTATTTGAGAATCGCGCTCCCCATTTCGGGTTGATTTTCCATTCTTATAAGCTTGAATTTGATTACACCAAAACCGGATTTTCCAATTTCGAGCCATGAATCGATGACTTTGTATAACCCATCATAGACATACACTTTCCCACTTGGGCTTCCTTCGTATCGAAACCCACGAACAACGCGTACCTCGATACCATAATGCATACTTCTTTCCATGGCGAGATTTCCACCTTCTAATCTTTGATGATCGGCTTGTCTGGAGTATTTATCTTGCCCACCGTGTCCTGTGTAGATGATAACATCCCCAGCATCTTGGTCGTCTTCATACCCACCTGAAACGATTATACTGGTGGCGATTGGATCTCCATTAGAGCTTTGACTTGAGGTTAGGTAATCAATCCCTGCTTGAGGTAGACCATGCATTCCGACAACACAGAGCTCCATTCGGAAGAAGAAGATATCACCGATGTAAACACCTGGAATTGCTCCGACGATCCTTTTATCACGATTCAACCATAGGCCACGGTCTTTCATCACCGAGGAAGCTTTCAAATCGCCTCTTGCACGGGGAATACGACCGAATACTTGATGACTCCGACGCTTTTCGTCCTCCATCGTAACGAAAACCCTAAGAGAGTCGTAAAGCATCCGTGTTTTTCTCACCACGTCTCGGAAATACCTTTCGTCTTCGACTCCCAGGTTTGTAACCCTGACTAATTCACCTGACCGCTGTTGAGACTTCCGACGAGATGAATCTCCGACGGCGGAATGCTGGTTCTCTTCGGGAACCGGGACAATTGCTTGTGCGTCTGGATCGATGAACCCAGCTGCATCGGGTTTCTCCGTGTTATTAGAAAAGGCAGTCCGGAACATCTCCTGAATCCTGCTGAATTCGGAATAAACATCGTTTGCAACACCGGCGGGTTGCTGGACAGGTTGTGATGTGTCGGGATGTGTGAAATTAATGTTAGGGTTTGCAGAATGGTGGTGGGGCGGGGGTGGTTCGTCGAGAGGTTCTTCTTTAGGTTCGAGTTTAGGGATGTTTAGGGTTAAGAAAGTGGTGGCTTCCCGGAGGTTACCGGCGGTGACGTCGGGTGTGTCTCTGACAGGAGAATCGGGATAAAGATTTAGGTCGATCAAAGAACCCATTTAAAAGGATGGTAATTTTAGGGATTATATCAAGAATTTCAGAGACCTTGATGATGCTGAAACGGCGATTCCGCCGGCAAAAGGAGAGAAAGAGAGGTAAAATTAGTAGAAATGAAACACCACAACAACAACAACAACCAACAAACAAGATGAAGAAATGAAGTTAAGAAAATGTAAACTGTCTGAAACTATGTTGTTTTTGTTTTACTTTTTTGGATGGAAAAAAAAGTCTTTCTTAAAAAACAATACTCTCTCCCTCCCTCAGCTTTACTTTATCGAAAAAAAAAATAAAAATTAAAAACTGATTGTTTGGTTTTCAAAATTTTGATAAAAAATCAGGTTTTTTTATTAAAAAAAATATTGTTTGGTTTTTTGAATTTTTTAAAACAAAGTTACAAATTTTATAATGTGATTAAAAATAAAATATTTAGTTTGTTGTTTTTTTGGTTTTTGTATAAAATAAAATAGAAAACTAAAAAATCTAAACCACAAAAAAATAAAAAATAAATAAATATTACATAAAGACGCAAAACTTCAATTTTCAATTTTTTAAAGTAAGGAAACAATTATTTTTCTTTTGATTATAGTTTTAATCAGTATTGTAAATGACGGTTTACGCGGCACCTATGCGGATAGAAGTTGCCTACGATTTTTGACAGACAGTTAAATTATATGGAGTCGTTTAATATGAATCTAGAGTGGCCGACACGAAGTTATAGGCGATTCTAGTCGTCTATAATTTTCAATTTTTTAAATTTTCAAATATTTCACAAAAAAATTCTAAATTTTCAAATTTTAAATGTCAAATGTATTAATTTCAAATAATACTTCTAAATTTTCAAATTTCATATTTTAATATTTCAATTTTTCAAATATTTATTTCTTAAAATGTAATAATTGAATAAATTGTATATATTATATCAAAATAAGTAATAATCACAAAATTTTGTCATATTTATTAAATTTGTTAGAATATAGGCAATATTTAATTTACAAAAGAAATTTAATACAATAAGGTTCCCCGCCTAGGTGCTGATTAATTACCGTCTAAACCGATTAGGTGTTTAACCCTACTATATCATTTGACTCATACCTAACGACTTTTACAACCTTGGTTTTAATATAAATCACAATGAAAAGACATCGGTGTAATTTAAATCATTATGTTTGTATAATACATGTACATTGTATACAATTAAAATGCAAAATTTAATTATTTTAGAGTAATCAACTATAAGACCAAATAGTATGAATGAGTGGAAACAGGAACCACACCTAGGAACATCATACCCTGGGTGCGATTTAGGTCATTAGGTTTACAGGTGTGGGAAAGATACATGACTCCTACTTTCTACTTTCATTGGTTGTCGGTGATATATATATATATATATATATATATATATATATATATATATATATATATATATATATATATATATAACCTCTCTAATAAATAAATGTTTTTTTTTTGTTATTTTTCACACTCTCATTCAATTTGTCAAATATCATTTTGTGGTTTTTTTAAATTAATTTTTTTTTCAACATGTCAGGTTTTCTATTTTATTAAATTTTACATAATATTTTAATATAATAATTGCAATAAATGTAGTAATAAGTGAATATTAATTTCATTAATAAACTTACCTTTTAATGTCAAAATTCCGAAATAAATAAAAATTAATTTCATTATTACTCGAACCATAGGTTCATACCTAATTTCATTAATAAACTTACCTTTTAATTTTATTAATAAACTTACCTTTTAATTTCAAATTTTCGAAAATTAAAGTTCAATAGTTCTTTTTATTTATTTAAATTTAAAAAATAAAAGATGTTTACATTATAATAATTCATTAGTTTTCTTATTTTCTTATAAATTCAAAGTTCTCAAATATTTTAGCATTTATATTTAACTTTTTGTTTTTTAAATTAACTCGTATAATACATGTGCATTCTAGCACACAGTGAATGTAAGAAACACATGAAACTATATATATATATATATATATATATATATATATATATATATATATATATATATAGTTTCATGTGTTTCTTACATTCACTGTGTGCTAGAATGCACCAATAGAAATTTAGTAAAATTAAATAATTATTTATTTAAATAAAGATAGATATTAAATAATTTCCATAATTATATGTATATTAAATGATATCCATAATTATAATTCTTTTTTATGGAAATTAATTAAATTCGTCATATTGTTTCTATTTCTTAGCAAAAATGACTCCCAACACTCCAACCCCAATGTAACGTCCCAAAAATAAGACACCAAAATTTCATTTTTCATGTAATAAAAACATTATCCTGAAACATCAACAAAATTCTAAAAATGATTGATTGTATCAAAACATCACAAATTATCAGAGTTATCATGAAAATGCGAAACTATACCATGTGTGCACTGCAATGTAACGACCCAAAATACGACCCAAAAATTTTTGTTTAAATAATACTAAGGTTATCAACGATTTATAATATATCATAAAATCGTACGTCATAAATGTCAAAAAGTTATAATAGATATGTCATAACAAAAGAACTGTACCAACATAACATAGTATCTGAAATAAACTCCCAGGACAAAAGCTGAAGTTGTGGTGTGTGCAAAGCCATCATCCCGAGCTCTTCCCTTTGCTTGCAGAAGTACCTGAAACCAAAACTGAAACTGTAAGCACAAAGCTTAGTGACCCCCCCCCCCCCAAACTACCACATACCATACAATAACATATAAACGCATATTGGGCCTTGCCCACTACATCGGACCGAAGTTCGGAAACTAACCAGGGCCTTGCCCTCTGCATCGGACCGAAGTCCGGAACTGGTTGGGACCTTGTCCCCTGCATCAGACCGAAGTCCGGAACTAACTGCATCAAACCGAAATTCGGAACTAACTAGGACCTTGTCCCCTGCATCGGACTGAAGTCCGGAAACTGACTGAGCATAACATAGCATAACATAAACATATCAACTACCATAAACACATATACTACATACTGCATCGGACCGAAGTCCAGAGCACATTACACAAAGAAATGTCTGAATCACAAAGACATCAAGCACACTGAACTACTGCATCAGACTAACGTCCGGAACTACTGCTAACTAAACGGACTGGCATTGTGGTCGTAGACCCGTTCCTATTGGAAGGAAAAGTCACCTCGAAGTGCTGGCTGTTGAGATGCTAACTTTAAAAGTGGCTAACTGTTGCTTCAAAACTGTCCGATTACAGATTCCAAGAACACTAGATCAGTTACTAGTAAATGCTCTCAGGGTCAAATTACTATTTTACCCCTAGTCAAAGTCAACTCCCTGGTCAAAGTCAACTTCTAGTTGACCGGACTCGCCGAGTCGGGGTGCAGACTCGCCGAGTCCCTCCATCACTAACTCTGACCTGAACTCACCGAGCCCTTTCTCCTCTCACTGATTCACCCTGAACTCACAACTCGAAGAAAGACGGGGGACTCGCAACTCGACTTGTCGAGTCCAAAGAACAAATCATTGAGTCCTGTCGTGCAGATTCCATACAATCGAATTCTAATCCATTCCAGAGCATCTAACTCATAGATCTGAGCCCCTAGAACCATCTGAACACTTAAAGTTGCTAACATTACGTGTAACTAAGAAGGAATGAAGTTATTTCACCCAAACACTACTTTTCTCGGGAAATCTCATCCGACTCGCCGAGTTGTTCAAACAACTCGTCGAGTCTAAGGCAATCTTCATTGGACTTGCCGAGTTGCTCATCCAACTCATCAAGTCCACGGTGTCACACCCCAAAACCATGAACGGCAGAAACGTTATGGGGCGGAGGACGTCATGTACAGTATCACAACAATGAAAAGTAGTAAACAAGCAACAACATCATCCATTGCATTAATAATATAATTTTAATACAAGTGTGTTCTGTCAAATTATAATAGACACTAAAGTATAAACAAAATGAAAGATGAGTCTTGAACGAGCTCCATCTTCTCTAAACCTTGCATCGGTACCTATCTACGGTTGACCTGAGGATACAAGTAATTTTGAAAGAGAGTATCAACTTTAAAGCTGGTGAAATTATAAGTATTTTAGTGTCTTATTTTGTGTGTAAGTACTTGTATGTATCTGAAATGTAAGTATTTGTACGAATGAACTGTAAGTATTTGTATGTATATGAATTGTAAGTATTGAAAATGTATATGAACTAAAAGTATAAAAATATTTGTAAAACAACTATAAATGTTTGAAAAACCCTAGAAACCCTATGATTCCTACTAGTATATAAGGGTGTCTTCCACCAAGACCTAACTGCTCTGAATGTAGCCTTCTACCAAGTCTTAACTGTTCTAAATGTTCGTTTCTTGTAAAAGTGTGTAATTTTCCCAAGTGTAACTATCATTAACAAAAATATAGTTTTTACATTAAATGTTTAAGTGAAAAGATCACTAGATATATGTAAAGGGAAAACTAATGTAGTACTATGGTGTAGTGCTATAGGAACTACTGCCGTACTAACTACCTTAAACCGGATTTATATTAAGGCATAATGTGATTAATTGTACCGTACTATCGACTGGGTAACAACGACAAATGTAGGTCGTAAAAAGGTATGACGTTTGGTACCCGCGGACCTACAGGTCCGGCTGTAGCTAGCAGCAAGGTGTAGGATAGTCAATCCAGTATAGATCTATACGCAAACTCGCGCTCTCCCTCCAAGAGACTCTGGCTACAATTCGGGTCATGCCATTGAAGGCATGCTCCAATACAGTGGATCACAATTATGTCAACGTATTCATGTATATGTAATGTACTGAAATGTTCTACGTGTGCTAGCTGGAATGTGTGTTCTCTCTCTATCTAGCAAGAATAGTAATGGATTGAAATGTTCTAGTTGTAATGTATGTTCTCTCTATCTAGCAAGTATTGAATCATGAATGAACTAACTCATTGTATGATATCGTGTTCTAGTAATAGTTCTAGTATCTTCCTAAACTAC